TCGTCCCTTCCACAGCCTGACTTAGCCCTTCGCCAGGTTCTTAGTCTCCCGTCTTCCACTGGCCTCACTCCACCTCTCTTGTGTCCACCGCCAGACCAGTCTCAGCCACAGCTACTGCATGGCTCCCCGCTGCCTGCTCCTACTCCTCACACTGAGGTGACTGAGTCCCTGACTGAGCGTCGTGAGCCTGAGACTCATGCTTCCACACCTGTTCGTGCTCGTCGTGTCACGCGTCCTCGTCCTCCTGCTGTCCCAAGCACTCACAGTATGGCACTTCGTCCTTCCTCTGTTCCAAAGCGTGTTGTCCTGCCTGAGCCTCCCGCGTCCTCACTTCCTGACGTGCCTTACCCTGAGTCCGACCTTGCTCGTGTTGCCAGTCCTATTGTCACTCGACTCCTCGCTACTATGGTCACTGACCCTGACTTTGAGTCTACTGCTCCATTTTCCCTAGTCACTGAGCTAGTCGAATTTGCAGCTAGGAGTCGTCTCGACTACGTCGCGAGTCTTGTTACTGAGTCTGAGTCTGTCTGTCCTCCATCCGTCGGGGGTGAGCCTGTCCTTGGCAATGATGTCCTTGAGGACAGGCATTTTGAGCTTGAGTGTCTTGCGGGCGTTTTACCTCGTTTCGCATCTATGCTACTTTGCCCAGAGAGAGACCTGGATGCACTTGACATCCCTACATTGTCAGACAGCCATGGACGCAGAGATGGCTTCCTTGAAGTCCGCAGGCACCTACGTCAACGAGGTTTCTCCTCCTGAGGCGAATATAGTCGATGGCATGTGGATTTTCATAGTGAAGCGGCCGTCGAGTTCTCCGCCTGCCTTCAAAGCGCGTTACGTTGCTCGAGGCTTCAGTCAACGACAGGGGGTCGACTACTTCCAGACCTTCTCCCCCACCCCAAAGATGACTACTCTTCGGGTGTTGCTGCACGTTGCAGCACAGCGTGACTACGAGCTGCACTCCCCTGACTTCTCCATAACTTTCTTGCAGGGCAGCCTTCACGAGGAGATCTGGCTGCGCCGTCCACCTGGCTTCACTGGGTCGTTTTCTGCGGGTACCCAGTGCCTCCGGCGGCCAGTCTACAGTCTCCGCCAGGCGCCCGGAGAGTGGCACGACACACTGAGGACTACACTTGGGGCTCTTGGGTTTGCTCCTTCCTCTGCTGACCCGTCGCTATTTCTACGCACCGACACTACCCTGCCGCCGTTCTACGTTCTCGTGTACATCGACGACTTGGTTTTTTGCTACTGCTGACACTGAGGCGCTGGCCCTAGTGAAGGCGAAGCTGCAAGAGAGACACAGCTGCACTGACCTGGGTGAGCTGCGTAGCTATCTTGGCTTGCAGATCCCCCGGGACAGAGCATGGCGCACCATCACCCTGACTCAGTCACACATGGTGCACCAGGTCCTTCGGCACTTCGGCTTCCAGTACTCCTCGCCACAGCCCAGTCCTTTGTTTACCGGCAACTCGCTCTCAGCTCCACCTTCGGACGAGTTCGTAGAGCCGAGTGGTTCGTACCCAGAGCTTATGGGTTGTCTCATGTACTTGATGACGTGCACACGACCTGACCTCCCGTACCCTCTCAGCCTCCTGGCTCGCTACGTGGCTCTCGGTAGACACCGAAAGGTGCACTGGGATACTGCGAAGAGGGTACTGCGTTACTTGTGCATTACATCGGGCATGGGGCTCGTGCTTAGAGGACAGGGTTCAGTGGTACTCACAGGACACTCCGACGCTTCTTGGGTCGACGACCAGGCGACTCAGCGTTCGTCACAGGGTTACACCTTCAGTCTTGGCTCAGGTTCTGTCTCGTGGAGGTCCACTCATTCTTCTTCTGTGCTTGGTTCCAGCTATGAGGCTGAGATCTACGCTGGGGCTATGGCTGCACAGGAGCTACGCTGGCTGACCTACCTGCTGACCGACTTGGGGGAGCGGCCTCGTTCTCCTCCAGTTCTGTACGTCGATAACAAGGCCATGCTTGCCTTGTGTCACGAGCAGAGACTGGAGCACAGAACAAAGCACATTGCTCTTCGCTACTTTCTTGCTCGAGAGCTGCAGCAGCATGGTCAGCTTCGCCTTTCTTATGTGGCCTCTCAGGCCAACACTGCTGATGTATTCACCAAGGCCATCGGGTCTGGTGATCTTAATTGTTTTTGTAGTGCTCTTGGGCTTCTTCCCGTTCTGCCTCACCTGCTTCTCTCTTGATCTTGCACTTGTTGTACAGTGATATCTATATTTATACTTGCATGTTTCGTCTTGCTATGTTGTGATCAGTGTACTGCCTTGCTATTATCACTCTGCATGTAAACTGGCCTTGTGGCCGCTTGCTTGTGCTCATAATGAGTGGTGATCTTGAGATCCACCCTGGGCTTTGCATTGATTTGTTCTCTTGCCTGATTGGTCTTGTGACCGTTTTTTTGTGTTGGCTATCCCTCACTTTGCCTAGGGGGGTGTGTCAAAACATATTTGTATGTTCCTAGTTCTGCTAGGCTACAGTGAGGTGCTCTGTATAGGCTACAACCCCAGTTAGGGTTTCATACTTGTATCTCCCTATTGCTAGTCATTCATCATTCCTGCATAGATTATTCTAGCAGTGATATTATAGTGACTACCCTAGCAACCTCGGGAATACGAGGTTGGGTGCAGGTTTGGCGAAGGGAAAACCGAAGGCGACGTGGAGCAGCTTCGGAATCGTAGATGTCGGCCGAACGTGCGAAGTCCGAAAGTGTTAAGTTTGTATGCGTAGTAGTCAACCCCAATAAGGAACTTACATGCATCAACCCTAAACACCATGCGGCAAGGTGTTTAGGGTTGATGCTTCCCTGTTTGCATGCATTTCCCTAGAGGGTTTTTTTTTTTTTTTTTTTGCCCAAACAAACTATTGATAAAACAAACTACCAGTGGGAAATGGGCGCGAGTGCGGAGCTATGCGCTTTAAAAACAAATGTTCGTTGGAATCTAAAACTACCGTAGCAAATGGGGCGGTTAGTAATTTCCTATACTAAATTTATAATTGTGATGAGCATCAACTGTTTCAGCGTGTCTGCCGCGTTGTCCACCTACACCGGGCACATGGGTAAGGGCGTGTAAAATCGGCAGACACAAATATTCGGCCACAAAGCCGACTGGCCGAATTGGCGAAAGTAACACATTCACGAAATTAATGAGCTCCGTTGCGAAAGTCGCAAATTTCGCGAATGTCATGCGAATTTGATGGCTGTAAAAGTGGTCGACTCGGCTTTCAACATCGAGTCGACTCGAAATCAGCCACGTTCCTGCCCCGTCGTTGCGACGTTGACAGCAGGTGTCGCAAGACTCCGCATGCGACGCCAAACAGAAACCACGTTCACGTCACCACCGCACGTACACAACGTCTGGACAAGGGCTGCCTGTAACAGCCCCGTAGCTAACAGACGGGTTGCACGCTGAGTAAAAGTGGTGGCCATTGAGGGGCTGAATGAAGTGCCAGGGAGTGGTTACTTTTAATAGTGGAGTCAGTGCTGTGGCTCTTGGCTAAATGTGCGTTGCTGACCCCTGTGTGAACGGAGCCGCGGTAGCAATGTTCAGGCCGTGGTCGAGCTTGGAGTGGCGTTCCAATATCGGGTGCACATGTGCGACTCCGTCGCACAATTCGGCCATTTGAAAGTTTACAACTTCCTGGAGTCGGCCAGCAATTCGCTCTGGAAAGTTGTAAAATTTGCAGACTTGCAAATACTGGCCGGTTATTGGCCGACTCTGATTCGGCCATCTGGTCGACATGTGCGAAAGAAGTGTCGACCATTTGGACGACAAAATCCCAGCCAAACCCAATTTTTCAAAATGCTCGCCGATTTTACACGCCCTAATCGATGCGTGTGCAGCTAAGACAGAGGACGATAACCGAGCGCTTCTCACGTGTGCATGCGCGTTTCTATGTGCCCAATTGGGAATGACACCACATGCGGGGCGTTCTACCTTACGCCACGAACGGAGATGGAGCAGCTTCGCAGGCGATCACAATGACTGGGCTGCCATGATGGTGACGCATTTGTTTCCGTCCCGCCAGGCAATCACAGGGTGTTTTTAGAATGCTCAACAACACCCTACCATACTGCCGTGTCATGCCGACGTTATTTTGCGGCCCCGCCAGGCAAGATAGATCCAGGCCGCGACTTCGCCGCTGCCTGCCCTCGCGGCACGACGAACCATGACGGCGCGCCCGGCGGCGGAAGCGCTCCTCCTCGGGCAGGGTGGGAGTCAAACAAGGCTCTTCCCTCGGTGCAGAACGGTCTCCCCTCCGTTGCCTTGTTTCAGCCGCACATGGTTTTTTGAGTCCGTGCCTCCATCTCCCCGTCTATAACACCTCGCTACCCACTGGGTCAAAACGAGGGTGTTATTTGGCGCAGCGGAGTGCCCTTAACACAGCCCACAAGCGTTACACTCGTCCCCCCCTGGTGCCAACGTCCCCGTTGGCCTCGGACTTCAGGGAGTCGGCCCCCTGCCGCTGGGACCTAGATTTCAGGATCGTTCACTGGGTTCGAGCTGGTAACCACACTTCAGTTCTCACCATAGGTGGAAAGTGTGGACCAGCCGGGACTCGAACCCTAGGCTCTGAAACCAGTATAACACCTCGCTACCCACTGGGTCAAAACGAGGGTGTTATTTGGCGCAGCGGAGTGCCCTTAACACAGCCCACAGGCGTTACACCGTCCCACCAGCAGCAACAGTATCAGCAGCAGCAGCTCTACGGCCAACCCATGTTGCTGAGAATCTCTTCTGCACTCTCATTGGAATCTTTATCACGTTTTGTACCAATCAGCTTCGAAAGGGATCGCTCAGCTCGTCGCGCAGCTCGTCGTCGCGCAAGCCGTACTGAACGGAAAGCCCATCCTGCCGCCATCGCGGCGAGGAAGTCAGTGTGAGAGCAGAAGAGAGTTTCGGGAGCACACTTGCCAGGGACCTCCGTGCAATGTTGCGGCCCTGCCTCCGCCGCTGGGTGACAACTGAGGACAGCACCTCATGAGCACAAGAAAGCAACCATCACCTGCCAGTGAGCTCCCTGTGGTGACCGTCTCCGCCTCCCCCGACTGCCATCTGCTCCCCGGCCTTCCCCATGACCTCGCGCTCGCCTGTCTCGCACGGCTCTCCCTCTGGGACCTGCCCGCCGCTCGCTGCGTGTCGCGCAGCTGGGCGGCTGCCATTCGCCGCCGGTCGTTCGGCCGCCTGCGACGCGTCTGCGCAGAGGAAAGGGGATGGTCGGGTGCGGGGCGCGGGGAGAGGCTTTGCCACAGTTGGGGGGATGGGAGGGAGAAGGGGGAGGGAAAGGGGGAGGGAAAGGGGGAAGGTAAGGGGGAGGTGAAGGGGAAGGGGTTGGCGGAAGACGAGGGGGAGATTGGTTCTCTGCCCAGTAGTTTCTTGAGTGGCTCCAAGAAGAAGCGCTTACCGCGGATGCATGTAGGGCCTCATCTGCCATGCCCGGGGGGTTCAAAGGCGTGTGTGAACGGGGGGCACTGCGACAGCTCGCTGGGTGCAGTGTTGGTGGTGTGCGTGGGTGGCAGCGAGGGTAGCAGCAGCAACGGCGCAGGCAGGCAGCGACTGCAATGGTTCGCCTGCTGCGTCTCTGAAACCTGCGATCCCTGCCAAGCCTGCCAGCCCTGCGGCAGGTACGGGTCGTCGCCGGACCTCTGCGGCTACTGCGCCCCCAACGCATTCCCCCCTAGGTGGCGCCGCCTGCCGGGTTTGCCATCGTGGGCGGCGCCGTGCCTTCCCAGTCAGGCAGGCCGCAGCACGTGCGCCACGTGTCAGTGTTTGACTGGCACATGGGCGCGTGGTTTGACGTGCAGCAGCCGTGCATGCTGCCCAGGTTGGACCCTGTGGTGGCTGCAATGGGTGCAATGGGTGGGGTGCGGTGGAATGGGGGGCAGAGGGATGCCTCTTGGTTGTCGGAGGCTGTCCTGTGCCATTTTTTCCTCACTGGAGCTCTGGTGGTTCATGTGGTAGATTTGCTGTTCGCCCCTCAGACACGGGGGTAGTTGAGCAACATCCTGGTTTTTCACCTCCTGGAGCCTCTCCCAGCTTGCCACGTGGCAGTGATTGTCCCAGCTTGCCACGTGGCACTGATTGTCCCAGCTTGCCACGTGGCAGTGCTTCTCCTAGCAGTCAGTCGCGCCACCCGTTCCTGGGGGTGTGCACGATGTGCATTGCGATGCCTGCAGATGGATTTGGTGTCGACGAATGTGACGAGCGTTTCAGTAACAGCGGATCGGGGCCTGTTCACAGCAACAGCAGCGGCAGCAGAAACAGCGGCAGCGGCAGCGGCAGCAGCAGTGGTAGCGGCGGCGACGGCAGTGGCGGCACAAGCAGCATGCTGAGTGGTTGCAGTTTGACTGAAGGAGGTGACAGCAGCAGCAGCGGCAGCAGCAGCATCAGCGGCAGCAGCAGCAGCGGCAGGGAGCAGTACTACCAGTTCCCAAGGCTCGACTCACTTGTCCTTGGAGGGCGGGTGTTTGTGCGAAGGCACTGCTCGCCCTACTTTGCTATCAACCCAGGGGGCTTCAACCGCCACGCACACAGACCAGCTCCACCTGCTCACACTGCCCATGGCCCTGGTAACCGGGTTATAGGGCCTGGCGGTACTGGTGATGGTAGTGGCAGCGGCTGTGGCAGTGGGTTCAACAGCAGCGTGCTGTCATAGGTAGGTGTGTTGGAGGTTGACTGGGGGAGGCGTGAGATGTGGAGGGTGGTAGAGGAGTCTGACGTCATCCATGCCATCTGGACCAAAACACACGTGGCACAAGTGATTGTAGCAGATGTGACTGCAGCAGATGTGACTGCAGCAGATGTGACTGGAGCAGATACCGTGACTGTAGCAGATACTGTGACTGTAGCAGGTGTGACTGTGTTGGATGTGTGTGCAAAGCCAGCAGAAGAAGACGAATCAACGAGAGCATACAGCAGCACTGCGTGGCAGGCGTCACACCTTGAGACGCCTCAATCACCACCACGCCCCCACAGCAGCAGAGCAGCAGCACACACGGCACCCGCCACCTACTCCGTGCTCTGCTCCCTCGACCCCTCCCTCTCCCTCCTTGTCTTCAACCACCTTCACCGCAAATGGGTTCCTGCTGGCCCTCCCCTTCCCCCTCCCTGCCCGTCTCGTCCTCTTCTTCCTTGTCTGTCCCCTCAGCTCCGATACCCCTGTGGCAGGGGCTCGCATGGGGGATATTGTTCCACTCCACCCTGTGCGCCCATGCCACCCTGCCCACCGACTACACGGTCCAACTCGCATTCTGCTGCACTCGACTCACACCTTTCCAGCAACGGTGCAGCTTCCAGTCTTGTTGCCCGTTCCAATGCTGCTGATGCTACCTCTGCCCCTGCTGTAGCTGCTGCCGCTGCCAATTCTGCCAGCGCTGCCAAATCCGAGAGGCTGCAGCAGCTTCTCGGTTGTGGCGGCCGTCTCGTGGCTCTCTTCCAGCCACACGACCCACGCCAACCAGGAGTGATGCGAGAAATACTCCTCTCAGACCTCCACACTCTCGCCTGTCTCTCCGCCCTGCTCCCTCACACCTCCTCCTTCTCATTCCCCTCCTCGCTCCCCTCTCACCGTTCTCTCTCTGCCGCCACACAGCCACGCACCATTGTCATCCCCCAAGCAGCACTGGCACAGGCTTCGGGGAATGTGGCTGTAGCAGCAGGTAGAGAATCAATGCAGCTGATGAATAGTGATAGTGTGGAGGGGCGAAGTGGCTGGGCAATAGGCGATCCAATGGCCTTGCCTGGCATCGGAAGGTTGCATCATGTGCTTTCCATGCACGCTGCCGTTTAGGAACACTGATATGATCCAATATGGCTGTACATAGGGGAGTGAACTGAGTTGCTACTGATTCTCTGAGAGGTGAATGCTGTGGAAGCAGAGTTGCGTTCTCCCTTTCTCCAGAGCTCTCCTTCCAAAACTTCGATAATAATTCGGGTCCCTGCCGTTGACGATCGCAGACGGGATACCGTGAAGACGAATGCCTGTCGAGACGAAGAGGCCCGCTGTTGTGAAAATGTTATAGTGCTTACTTTGTGTAGGCTATAGTGGGGTAGCCCATAAGGGGTACAACCCAATTAGGGTTAGTACTTGTACCCAACTCTTTCATAGTTCATTCATTCTCGTTCTAGATTTTGACATGGTTTCAGAGCAGGTCCTTCCGTAGGACCAAATTTTTTTAGGGCCCACCACAGAGCTGCCCCACTAGCTGCCCTGCTGCCCTACCCTAACGACGCGCCGCCCTGCTGGCCGCAATGCCGCCCTAAGCAGCCCGTCGCGCCGCCCTTGGCAGCCCGCGAGCCGCCCCTGCAGCCAGCGCGCCGTCCCTGCAGCCAGCGCGCCGCCCCTGCAGCCTGCTCGCCGCCCCTGCAGCCCGCTCGCCGCTCGCTTGCGGCGTGCACGCCGCCCCTGCAGCCCGCTCGCCGCCCGCTTGCGGCCCGCTCGCCGCCCTTACGGCCCGCTCGCCACCCGCTTGCGGACCGCTCGCCGCCCCTGCCGCCCGCTCACCGCTTGCTCGCGGCCCGCTCGCCGCCCTTGCAGCCCGCTCGCCGCCCGCTTGCGGCCCGCTCGCCGCCCCTGCAGCCCGCTCGCCGCCCGCCTGCGGCCCGCTCACCGCCCCTGCAGCCCGCTCGCCGCCCGCCTGCGGCCCGCAATGCCGCCCTCTTGCAGCCTGCGCGCCGCCCCTTGCAGCCCGCTCGCCGCCCCTTGCAGCCCGCTCGCCCCCCCTTTGCAGCCCACGCGCCGCCCTCTAGCAGCCCGCTCGCCGCCCCTTTTATAGCCTGCCCACCGCGCCCTTGCAGCCCGCGTGCCCGCCTTGCTGCTTGCGCCGCCCGGCTGCTGCCCGCCCTGCTGCTTGCGCCGTCTGGCTACTGCCCGCCTTGCTGCTTGCGCCACTCGGCTGCTGCCCGCCCTGCTGCTTGCGCCGCCCGGCTACTGCCCGCCCTTCTGTGCGCCGCCCTGCTTGCAGCCCTAGCCGTGCGCCGCCCTGCCCTGCCCTGCCCTACGCGCTTCCCTAGTGCTCGCGCGCCGCCCTGCCTGCGTGCTGCTCTGCTGGTCGCGCGCCACCCTGCTCTGCCCGCTATGGCTTCTCTCAGTGTACTCACCTTCGATCATGAGGGCCGTCCGATACAGTTCGATACGTGGCTTGACGACTTACAGCTGTACCTACAGAGCGATTCTAGAGACAGCGTTTCGTTGTTTGACCACACGTCTGGAGCCTTTCTCGCCCCTCCCGCCACAGCTGACAGTGCGACTCGCTCACAGTGGCTTACCCGTGATGCTGCTGCTCGCTTAGCCGTTCGCAACCACCTACCGTTAGCCGAACGCGCTCACTTCGGACAGCACAAGACTGCTAAAGCACTGTACGGCGCTGTAGTCGCCCATTACTCCTCCCCTGCCACTGCTGTTCTAGGCCATCTTATACTGCCCTACGTGTTTCCCGAGCTGTCTGCCTTTGCCACAGTAGACGACCTCGTTACCCACCTTCGCACTAGCGACGCTCGCTACCGAGCTGCCCTCCCAGCAGAGTTCCTTGCCAGGAACCCGCCCCCGATGTACATCACTCTCTACTTCATAGTCACCCGCCTCCCTGACTCTCTTCGCGCTGTCAGGGACCACTTTCTTGCACTTGACCCCACAGACCTCACTATCGACCTGCTCGAGCAGCACCTCCTTGCAGCTGAGACTAGCGTAGTCGCTATAGGTGCCGCTCGTGGCACTCCTCGCACGCCCTTCTTTGAGGGGTGTTCCCCCTCCCCCCTTGCCCCCTCCTACGCCTCTGCTGCTGCTGTTGACATCCTTGGTACTGAGGATGTCGGGGCTGCTTCTGCTATTAGTGCGAAGCCCCGCAACAGCAAGGGCAAGGGTGGCAGGAGTGGTGGCGGTGGCAGCGGGGTTGGTGGTGGTGGCGGCAGTGGAGGTGGTGGAGGTAGCGGAGGTGGTGACAGCGGTGGAAGTGGTGGCGGGAGTGGGGGCTTTGGTGGCGGTAGTGGTGGAGGCGGTGGGGTTGGTGGTCGTTGCAGCGGTGGGAGTGGTGGCAGTCGGGGTGGAACTGTTCAGAGGGAATGTTTTGGCAGTGGCCAAAGACAGCAGCAGCAGCGTCGGAGCGAGACCCCTTCGCCCCAGCAGCTTCGTGAGTGGTTTGCTCAGCGTGGGGCATCAGGGGGTAGTGTTAGCTGTGCGTATGTCATTCGCACGGGTGACCATGCTGGTCAGACATGCAGGAAGCCTCACACTCAGCACCGCTGCTTAACCCGCCTAGACGATGCTTGGCGCGCAGATATAGGTCACAAGGCTAAGCGCCCCCACTGGGCAGAGCTTCTTAGGTCTGGAGTTGATATCTTTGCTCTTGACTATGATGCTATCCTTGCTGCTATGTATGCCTTGTCTGTTAGTGCTGAGGGTGACTGTTATCGGTGTGTGCCACCTGATCCAGCTATAGAGGCTGCTGCTCTAGGTGCTAGTGGGTCTGCTCTCCTTGGTACTGCACCTACTGAGGCCTTGCACACCTTTACGCTTGACTCAGTTGCTTCCCGCTGTTTCTTTCGCGACAGTACCACCCTCACTCCTCTCTCTGCACCTGTACCGGTCAGACTGGCTGACCCCTCAGAGGGCCCAGTTCTTGCCCATTCCTCCACTGTTCTCCCGTGTCCGGCGGTTCCGTCCGGCTCACTCTCAGGTCTTCACCTCCCCTCGTTCCCTACGAACTTGGTGAGTACCGCTGCCCTCAAGGATGGGATGGTCACTACCACCACTCCTGGGGGTCAGCGTGTGTCCATCTGCACGTGTACACGGACGGGCCGTCACCTGGCCACGTTCACCCGTCGGCATGGGTCGAGTCTGTACACACTCGCTACCGAGCCTCCTCAGGTAGCTGCGTTTGCCCAGGTGTCCGCGTCAGGTTCGGTAGCACCCCCCTGTTCGTGTCGCCTCCTGTCGCACAAGGCTCTCCTGTGGCACCACCGCCTTGGTCACCCCTCCCTGCCACGCCTTCATGGCATGCACTCCCACCTCCTTGTTTCTGGTCTTCCCAGGTCTCTGCCTCCCCTCCCAACCTCGCCTGTCCCGCCCTGCCTTCCTTGCGTCAAGGGGCGGCAGCGCGCCGCTCCTCACTCCTCCTCGTTTCCCCCGACGACTGCTCCCCTACAGACTCTCCACATGGACGTGTGGGGCCCAGCCCGCGTCAGTGGACAGGGCCGCGAGCGCTACTTTCTGCTGGTTGTTGACGACTACACGCGTTACACCATGATCTTCCCCTTGCGCAGCAAGGGTGAGGACCCTGATATCTTGATCCCTTGGATCCGTGCTGTCCGTCTCCAGTTCCGCGAGCGGTTCCGCGAGGACCTTCTTGTCCTGCGTCTGCATTCTGTCAAAGGTGGTGAGTTCTCCTTCGACCTCTTGCGGGACTTTTGTCGTGGTGAGGGCATCCTCCAGTCGTTCACGCTTCCGACCTCCCCACAGCAAAATGGGATTGCTGAGCGCTGCATTGGCTTAGTCATGGAGGTGGCTCTTACCTCCATGATCCATGCGGCTGCTCCCCATTTTCTGTGGTTGTTTGCGGTCCGGTACGCTGCACATCAACTCTGTTATAGTCACAATAGGCTTGAATGTGCCTAAAACGAAAGATAGAGTGCACAGTCAGATTTCTGCACAGCGGCTTCAAACGTTGATAGCGTTCTGGTCACAGCTTCAAATGACTTGATTCAAATTGGATCTGGAGCGTCTTGACGTCGCCTACACTTGACTATTTAGATTGCACGATTTCATCAAGGATTGACGACGCAACGTGGTTTGAACGAACGGCACTATGGCAGCCACTATCGACTTAGAACACAAATTAGGAAGAGATACGAGTTGGGAATGACTCCCAGCTCCTACAAACCCCAAGAGCCGAGGTACAGTGATGTGGAACAGTGCCACACTGTCCCCAACCACGAAGGGTCTCGAAACTACCCTCCACAAGGGCCTACTCCAAGAGAAATGTTACACTACACAAAGTAATGCAACTATTCTCACTATCTTAAAGTTTGCCCTTTTGGGGAGCTTCGAAATCACTTGAATCTTGAAACCAAGGCTCTGGTTCTTCAAGATAAATTCTTCCTTGAGTTCTTGGAATTCTGCTGCGCACACCTGCGACACACCGAACGTTCCACACACGACAAAATAGAAAACCGCACACGACACGCAAAACAACGACGTGACACGCGACTAGCGATAACTCGCTATTGAATCGACACACACATTCAAAACCATGCCTCATCATTCACACACTATTATAAGCATAAAATATATATTATCTCATGCCCTCATACCATTCCATGCACACACGCATGCACGCACACGGACAACAAGCCGAATGCAAACCGTAGGGTTGCACCAACAAATTCCCCCTCGGATTGTTGGCCTTAGGAACTTGCTCTCTCAGTTCAGAGCCATCCCAGCCAGCTTGCAACACTTCCAATGCTGCTGCTCCACCAGCCTCTTGGTCATCATGTCAGCTGGCTGCCTTGTCGTCTTCACATAGTGCAACTCAACTTCACCCGCGGCCACCATGCTCCTCGTCCAATGCCACTTCACCCTCATGTGCTTCGTGAAGCCATGCAACACAGGGTTCTTAGCAAGAGCAATGGCACCTTGGCTATCACAGTAGAGTGGGGTAGGTCCTTGCTGCTCTTCCCCCAATTCAGCCAACAAACGCCGCTGCCACACAATCTCCCGTACGGCACGGAAGAGTGCCATGTACTCAGACTCCACCGAGCTCAATGCTTGATCCACCTGCTTCTTGCTCTCCCAAG